CTGTCTGCCTTCTGTCTCTTATACACATCTAGATGTGTATAAGAGACAGCTCTCTCTCTCTCTCTCTCTCCATCTCCATCTCCGAGCGTGCCCTCCGAACGTGCATCACAGAGAGAGAGAGAGAGAGAGAGAGAGAGAGAGAGAGAGAGAGAGAGAGAGTCTCTAGATCGTCAACGTGGCAAGCACACACACACACACACACACACACACACACACACACACACAAAGTCTCTAGATCGTCAACGTGGCAAGTGTGGCTCACACACACACACACACACACACACACACACACACAGAGAGAGAGAGAGAGAGAGAGAGAGAGAGAGAGAGAGAGAGAGAGAGAGAGAGAGAGAGAGAGAGAGAGAGAGAGTTTACCACGCTTTCCGCGAGCTGATTCTGACATGTGCCGCGTGGTTGTGCCGTTGACGTATGTCCTTCAGGCAATGCTTCAACACAGACATACCCCTCACAAATATCCAAACGCTTGACCGGTATCAGAAAAAAAAGGACTTAAACCCTAAAAAGATTACCAAAACCCTCGACCTGCTTTCGATCAATAGGATGCGAAAACTATCTGACAACTATTATTTACAAAAATAAAATAAAATAAAAACTTATTTGTCATACCTCACCTCTCGCTTCGAGATTTTGCAGGGTCAATGTCCCGCTACCGGGATCCGCTTCATTCCTGGCCATTGATCTGTATAATCCTTCTTTTCTGTTTCCAACCTATACAATCTCGTTTACGGTCAGGAACCAACAATCCAGGTAAAGTTGCTACCTTGGGGACGCTGTGGGACCTTGGGGGACACTGCGGGACTTTGGGAGACTGTTACATGCTGCGCCTGCAACAGGCTGCACGGGCCATTTTCAGGTCTGTGTTGTTTTCAGCCTGAAAGCCTGAAAACAAGGGCCTACAGGCCCCGTGTTGTTTTCAGCCTGAAAGCCTGAAAACAAGGGCCTACAGGCCCTGTGTCGTTTCAGCCTGAAAGCCTGAAAACAAGAGCCTACAGGCCCTGTGTCGTTTCAGGCTAAATCAGGGCCTTTCCGGCCCTGAGTGTTTTCAGCCTGAAACTGAGGGCCATTTTCAGGCCCTCATCAGTTCGACCCGCCCTGAAACTAAGGCACCAGACCAGGGTTTTAGCTCAGGCCATTTTTGGCCTATTTTCAAGACAGCCTTTGTTTGAGCTTCAACCCCAGGGTCTGGCACATTTTGGCATTGGCAAGAGCAGCCTCCTGGACGGGCCAGCACTATATAAGACTGGCCCGCCCTGCAGGAGGCAAGTAGTTGCTAGGTAGTTCCAAGGTATTTCCCAGGCACTTCACGTGCAGTTCAGGAGGAAGGAGGTAGTCTTCAGGATTCGGCAGCAGCACTATGGAGGAGCGCTGCAGGAGTAGTAGCAGCGTTAGCAGTAGTCTTCAGCGCTGGGCGCTAGTAGCGTTAGCTGTAGTCTTCAGCGCTGGGCGCCATAGCAGCTAGAGTACTACTAGAGAGAGAGAGATTGGGCGGAGGCCAGAGGGACTTCCCTGCAGCGCCGTTGCTCCAGCTTCGTCTTCGAGGTTACAGGTTAGTACCTGGCATGTGAGAGAGAGAGAGTTCTTCTTCTTCCTCTTCTCAGTCCACCATCTCCTTCTCACCCTCTCGCTATCTGACTTCACTGCATCAGCAGACTACGAGAGAGAGAGAGAGAGAGAGAGAGAGAGAGAGAGAGAGAGAGAGAGAG